TTCAAAGATAACTTTATTTATTGTCACTATTAAACTAAAAGGGGAAGTGGGATGATCTCGACTTTTCTCGACAATATTTCTAATGACTATTTAAGTGCAAAGCCAGAATTATATGTTGTTTGTATCAAAGAAACTTTATGGTAGTTAACAGTGGATTGTAAAAAAAGTTCATGCCCTTTAGCTTTCTTACATCTTGTCATGTCACAGACCAAAAGGTTTCATGTACTTTATGTGCTTGGCCAAACAAAGTAATAATTTTGAGGCCATAGCATAACAATGCTCAGTTTTTGAAATTTTATTAAAGATTCTGAAAAGTGTAACGGGCATTTATATCCAGCTCCCCTGAGTCAAAACTTTGTGCAACTACATTTCTCTTTAACAGGTTTGTCTTCTAATTAGCACAGTTTGGGAGAATGTTTTATGACTTGACCCTGCTGATGTACCCAGGACTTTTCCTCAGTCCTCTCTGGTGTGTTTCCTGGTCTTCATGATTCATTGTTCATTCGTACTTTTTTTTTTTTTTCTAACAAACCTCTGAGGCTTTCCCAGAACAGCTTTATGTGTATAGACATTAGACTATATGCAGTTGCTTCTCTATTTAGACATGAGGTGGTTCCTGAAGAAATATAGACTTAATTTTAATCAGGAATATCAGATTCGAAGAGGCTAAATAGCAACACACTTTGCTCTTTTCAGATTTTTATAAGTGTATTGTAGTTTGTGGTTGTAACAGCCTGCGATGTGGAACATTTCAAGGTGTGATGATGCTTTTCTAGGGACTGAGATTATTGCTATAAAATGCACAGCTTCAGAAGGTTTCAATAATTTGTGCCTTTTTGTTTTTTTTTATACTTGGCTTTTGTAGGTATGATGACATGCTGGTAGTTCCTATTATTGAAAACACACCAGAGGAGAAGGACTTGAAAGACAGGATGGCCCGAGCGATGGAAGAATACCCGGACTCATGCGCAGTTCTTGTTCGCCGGCATGGTGTTTATGTTTGGGGAGAGTCTTGGGAAAAAGCAAAAACAATGTGAGCATTTATTTTTTCCAGCAAGTGTATCCCTAATAAATCTAACCTAGCTTAAACAATATATTTGTTTTACTATAGTTAAGCAAACACATTGACATTCTGCTTTTTATGTTAATTATTTCCCTAAATCATTGTGTTTTACAGGTGTGAATGCTATGATTACCTGTTTGATATTGCTGTCCAGATGAAGCAGTGCGGTTTGGACCCCTCAGCCCTTCCAGTGGAAGAAAAGGGAATAGTGTGACATTTACTGGTGCTTATTTTTGAGACATTTGTTACAGAAAGGTTAGCCGAGTTCAATCAGGGGAGCAGATTGTAATCATTTGCCTTTCACGGCAGTCCGCCTCAAAATGGATGAAATGTGATGGCGAGGGCAAATTCGGGGTTGAAGATCGAATGCCTGCAATCTGGAGGTAGCTGCAGGTACACTGTAAAGCACTGTGGGACAACTCACAAGAGAGTAGCTGTCAAACCAATGTCCTCAGGTTCAAATGCCTTTCTGTTCAAGCTTGGCTGCACTGAAATCAAGGAATTTCTGTATGTCAGAGAGAACTAGAGCACAGATCTCACTTAATCTGTAATACTTTTAACTTCTTTTGCCTCAGCGAATAAAACATGAGATGTCAGTTGTGACTTGATGATTTTTTTTTTTTGTTTACTTATCTGTCCCTTTCATTTTTGTGAGCCACATTTCATATTGAACAACTCATTTACAAATGAGACAAAACTTTGACTGGTGGAATAAAAATCACAGTGTACACTTGAGTGCCTGTGGTCATTTTGTCAAATATCTTTTACAGAAAATAACTTTATGTGGCACGAAAGAACTCGTGCTGAGTTCGTGGACGTCCTTTCAGTCCCGCTCCACCATCCCAGCAGCAGGGAAGCATGTTTAGCGCAAAACTTGTACAGTGCCTGTAGATCCTCGCACAGCATGCGTTCAGTTGTGTGCACACTTATTTCTCATGAAAGGCAGAGCTGTCATTTTTTTAACAAGCTCCCTTTGCTGCCACTATCCCAGCGCTTCCACAACTTTACTCACTCAAAACAGAGCGCTGTCAAACGTGCCGCAGGCTTATTAGATAGGGTGGTGGGGGAAGTGAAACAAAATTCTTTTTTTGTGCTGCCAAGATTGCTCACCTCCTAATGAAGAATTCAGATAAATCGTCTCCCAAACAACAATGAAAAAGACCGTGTGAACATCACGAGTATCTAGGAAAAAAAACAAAAGTTTTAGATTTTTTTTGGTAGTTTAAAAGTATATTCATATTAAGGGCATTAAAAAATAAAAACATGCAAATACTCTGTACTCTCAAATGTCAGACTGGGGGTAAAAAAATGTCTTAATACTGAAAAACATTGCATATTTCATAATTCCAAATACTTGTTTTATTATGCATTTATATCAATATTTATGGCCTGTATGAAAAGTTTACTTACAGACACATCAAGATTACAATATTAGAGCTCTGGAGGGACACTGTGGCACATCAATCACACATGGAACGAGGACAGCTTGGCACAGAAATCTTTGTCACAGATACCTTATGATTTAGTTGAACTGCTGGACAGGTACCGTCAGACAGTAGAAAAATGACCCACTATGTCTTTTTCTAAACTTGACCTGGTTTGAACATGACATTAAGTCAAGGAAAGATGGGGGCGGGGTTTATTGAGAGCTCAAGACAAACTGAGGTACAAAGTGAATCTGACTGCACTGTGGCTGCACTACTCTGCTTCTGAAGATAAACCACTAATACAATCTTAATGAGTGGTTTCAAGCTTAAAATGTTACAGTATTGGAAAGGTGTGTAAAACAGATAATAAACATAGGCTCTTAGTAGAGTCAGTGATTTTAGAAGGGGAATCATGGGCATTTTCCAGCTAATACCAGACACAACTTAAAATCACTTACATTTGATGTTAACATTTTTATTAAAGGATGTACATTTAAATGTTTAATATTCACAAACTGATTTTAAGGAAAGAAAATGGCTATCAGCTTCAGCTTCTGAAAATGACATAAGGAAGAAAACCTGCAATGAAATTGATTATTGATGAAGTTGACATAATAATTCAAGTGTTTGTATATTAATATGTATATCATTATGGCTGTGATTTTACTCACCATTTTTATTGTGAATTGCTTGTTTGTAGAGATCTAGGGTAGTTCTTCAGCATAAAGCACATAAGTACCTCAACTAGGCTGTTTTTTCTTTATTCGTAATTAACCTCTAAAGTTACCATTCCATCATTTTAATTTAATGGAAAATAATAGAGAAATTACAATTCTAGTTCATAGGTAAGTTAGAAGACTGGGACTAGCCTTTAGCCTATCCTTTACTATCACTGAGAATTAAATAAAAAGTATTAATTGTACAACATTTTCTCAAATGCTATATGCGTTATTAAAAAAAAAACATTTGCTTTTAGAAATTACCTTTGTAAGTAGTATCCCACAGATTCCCTAAGCAAAGATACAAACATACATTCAAACTATGGAAAAACTACACAAAAAAGTTTCTTCTTTGTGCCACAAAACTGTAAAAAATATCTCTTTTTTTTGTTGTTTGTCTCTTCTGTTAATTGTAATTTCCAACTTTTATGGGGAGACTGAGCTTTTGTATTTCCCAGAAGCCAAATCTCTGGGAAATACTTGGCTTCTAGGGACTTATCAAGCTCTACATTTTCCATATTTGCATGTTGGTTTAAACTCTCTCAAAAACCTTCTTTGATGGTTATGTTTATTGAGAAAAGCTTGAAGCTTGCACCGAATAGCCACAAAATCAAATTAATGTTTTGGATCCTCTTCTGCTTTATTACTGTACCCATTAAATGTCCTTCTTGGAACACATTATCAGCTTCTGCGCAGAGCATCTCATTAAAAGCATTGCAGAAAATGTTATTTTTACCACTGTTTTCAATCAGCTGAGGGATGTATAACGGCTCAAGTGCTGTAGTGGCGCCTCTCAACCCATAAATTATGTTCAACTTGTATTAACGTGTTTGGCACCCATGTCTCAGGAGAAGAGGAACATTCATTGCTGCCCCATATTTTTTACAATATTGATTAAAGTGTAAATGTGTTTATGATTTTTAGCTCCAGTAAAAGCGTTGTGACAGGCCAAATGGTGATATGAATTAATATTATTGACGTTCAGACCAAAGTACTGTAATTCTGTGTGTATCAGCCGCTCGGCGCACACATCCAAATAGAAAACAATGGAATCTAAAGAATGATCAACATATCATATACCACTTTCAGGCCGTCTGATGCTTTGCTCTATTTTGTCTTTATTACAGAAAGATGTCAAAAGCTAGAGTGAGAGAGGAGACACCTGTAGTTTTTCATTTTAAACAAGGAAGTAGAGGGTTAGTGGCACAGCTTTTGCCCTCCAGTTTGAAGGTTGGGCTTTTTGAGATATCAGCAGTGCTTTTGTGATTGAAATGGGAATAATTTACCCCTTAAGCCTCTAAAGAACTTCTGTATCCTGATTTTTTTTTTTCTTTTCCCCGGTACCCTTGACAGATGTGTTGAGCATGCATTCTATACAATAACACAAGAAGTTGAAATCTATGACCTTTTTATTCGGTGACCGGTAACAAAGCAGTGTGGATTTTCAAGCGTGCACCTTTTCTTTACAAGAGGAGGATGAAGCACGAGGCCCTTATCCGTGTGACTCAAAGGGCAGAAGTGCAGCATTCTGCGGTGTTTTGTTTAGGTAACTATTAAAATGACTGGGCAAATTTGGATTGTTACCTTGTAAGCAGAAAGAAAATGTGAAGATTTACTAAGAAAGTCTCTTTTTTTTAATCACAAGCCTTGTCTTCTTAACCTCAAATCTGAGGTGGATTAAACTGAATCTGGGGCTTAAACCAAAAAAAAAAAAAAATGTAGGAAAGTGAAAGTAAACTTTCACATTCAACAATCAAGAATAACATCAGCCATTAGTAACATGAAGCTAATAAAAACAACATAGCTTTTGCTCGACACGGGTTTTTATTCTCAAAGACTTTTCATCGTGCTGAAAGTTAAGGCAAATGTCACTACATGTTTCTTCTTGCCTACTAGGTGTTTGTTTACATGACCACCACACCATGAAGGTCATGTTACAAAAGAGCTTTTATTCTTTTTCTTTTTCTTTTTTTTATTTTGTTTCGAAATCGCTTCATGCTCTGCTAGTTTACAGCCTCTTATTATACTGACTAGTGTGAAATGTTAATGGATGTAAAAGGTAATAGAGATAAGAAAAACCTTTTAAAACACAATAAATGTGTAGGACGTGTGCATTAAGTGCCAGCTAATTAAAGATTTTAAATTGGCTCTTTAAATCTATTATCCAGGTAGTCATTAAGTTGTCTATGTGTAATTTGAACAGAAATGGAAATTTAGTTAATGGAACAAAGAAACAGTAAATTAATTTTTATATGATGCTGACAAAAGCCAGTGAATTATTTAATTAGAAACACTTTGTGATATAAGAGAATACTGATTGATGTTCCTCTCTGCAATTGAAGTCTTAGTTTGTATTTATGGGTGAGATTGGATTAGATAAATGTAGGTTCATTTATTTATATTTGTATAGTTTATGAACAGTAGAGAAACAAGCATAGAAACCTGGCCCTGGATCTGTGTCAGCTTACCATTGACACCATTAAACCTTTCTAAAATTATTACTTTATTGAACCAAGTGAGAAAAATGAGCATATGTGGCTTGGTAGATAAGGGTAGCAACTCATACAGGTAAAATAAAGTACCTGATGTGAGTCAGTGCTAGAAAAACAACAAGGTCTCCTGCCAGCTACTATGTTTACTGGTACGTTTCTAGCTGCAGTCTGTGAAAAACAGATGGTGTACTTTTACTTACATCGTGTGTAAAGGTTTAATGTCTGGTCTGCTGAATTCCAATGGAAATCGACCTCCTCAGCCAAACCAGCTGCAGCACTTGGCTGTGAGCCCTTTTCTGCCCTTAATCCATTCACCCGGGTCTCACTTTTGTCTTCTTGTCAGCTCTGACTTTGTCGATAGTGATGCAAACAACCATAGCTATACTTTCCCCCAAAGCTAAAGTCTGAGCTGTAAAATCAGTATTGCTTTTCTAAAATAGCTTTTGCAATGTATGTTAGTCATTCTCGCTATTAGTTACTTGCACTACAAGCTGGCTGTGGTTATATAATGACCGCAGAGAGAATAGTGCATTTTATTTAGTTTCTCTGGAGCCTAACTTGACCATTTCAGCAATTAGCCTATCCATGGTTGTTGACTCAAGATGTTTCGCTTTGAATCTGAGAAGTGTTTCACAGCTGTGATATATAAAATTGTGGAAATGTATCCACATCCATTTTCATATTTAGTCTTGTTGGATCAAACTCTGCTGGACTTTATAGTAATATTTTTTGATGGAGAAAAAAAAAAAAAACGTCTTAAATCGTTAGTCCAGCCTCCTGCTCTTTCAAGTTTCTCTTGATCATATCTAACTGAGCTTGAGCTATTTTTCAAAGAGTTGGCAATGTGTGAAGATGGTAAAGAAATACTATAGGAATCTTGCAGCTGCTACTTCATGTGGTTCCAAAAAGTGTTTACTTTAACTTTGTGGAAAACCAAGCTTTTCAGATTTTTTTTTTTTTTTTTTTTTTTTTTGGAAAAAAATTTTAAAAACATGGGTTAAATTTCCGTTCCAAATCAAACTTTAACTTTGTTTTATT